GTGTTACAGGCTGCCACAATACGGTCGAAATAAAAAACCTAACTCGATACGTTGACGAATTTTAATTGAATTATAGTACACAGAGTTTTACCCAGTTCTCGTTTGTATTTTATATATATGCATTATATATAACGTCGGTAAGTCGAACCTGAAGGGAAGAGCTGGAATAGAGTTATAGGGAATTTTATCAAAATCTCCGAGTAAAGGAAGTTTAACAAACAAAAAGAGAAACTTTGTACGCAGACAAATTACAGTCACTCTTTCAAAAAATGTTAGTATTTTAAACATTACCTTAGACCGCATTTTATTCCATGTACATAAATGCGTAAGTTGAAAGCGATGGCAATTATGTACTCGACTGACGAGATAAGAAGCTTTCATTTATCCATTCGTTTCTATTCGAAGATGGTATCCCACTGGAGGTATCCATCCACATGTTATTTAGCAAATAAGTTAGAGAAATTTATCAAATGTCCAGCTGGACAAATTGTAAAGTACAAATTAAATAATACAAAAAAAATGACTCTGATCGAAGTGTCCAGAAGTGGGGATTCGTTTTCTGTCGTCTTACGTTACTCGACACAATAATAACCGTTGGAAGAAAGGTGGCAATAAAGGACGATTGGTCTCTCATATCTTGACACGCAGCGTCGATAAAACTTCGACTTCTAGAGGCAAACTTCGACCTGTAGAAGTCGAGCTGTTATAAATTTCAGTTACGGAATTACCATGATGCATCTGGACATGTCACAATAATTCGAGTTATACCAGTCGTTTTGGCAGCCGAGTTGGAGAAGGCGATGAAATATCGCAGTAGACATCTTCGACGAGGTTTGCCAGCTAATGAATCTGAGCCGTGTTATAGACCAACACCAAAAACATTTTCTGGAGGTTTTCGAGTTACTGAATCTGGGTCGTATTGTAAATGAAACAGAAGAATTAGGTTCTGCTTGGGTAGTTAAATCCGCCCACTTCAAGGCTACCGGCAACCATTTTTCATTCTTCTCTACTTCGAAATCATCGAAAGGCATCCCCTCTAGCCTCTAAAAGCAGGATGCGTGATAATGTGGAATTCTTCCTCACTGGAAGCCTTACGGTGGTCTTCTCAGCTGCGATGGGGAAGCTCGGGGAACACTGACGTGTAATATTAAGTCTCTACTTTGGGCAGTATCAGAGACCACTCTTGGCGGAGTTAGTCTTTGTGGTTGCGTGTTATGGCAATCCGGGGCGTCTGCAGCTTCCGTAGCTCCGTAAGTCGTCTTTCTTCTGCACTGTAGTTCTTCAAGACACGGGCGTTTGACCAGAGTGACCCGCATTGTTTCCGACTGATATTCATCCGTACGCGGACTACTTCCCAAATGGTACTTGCTACTGTGTCGTCAGACTACTCAGTACTCTGCTCCGGTGTTTTCCATTAGTGACCGTTCGAGACTCTTTGCTCCGAGTTTTCCTTTTCACATCTTCGGTTCTATCTTCGTTGTTGCGCGACCTTTCACATTTACGTACGCGTCGTAACATGGCGATTTAAAAACGTTTTGTCAAGATTCACGAGTGCGTCATCGACAGGTTCATTAAAATTTCAAAGTTCACTAAATTTCAAGTTCGCTAAAATTAACAAATGCAAAGAAAGAAAATAATATTTCCAAGACATAAACGTTTCGTTGCAAACGGATGGAGATGCAATTAGTTTCAAAGTTGTTGTCAGGATTTGCCCATTAACAGAAAAGACTCCACAAATGCTTAGAAGTCTCTGCAATGATATATTCACGCGAAAGAAAACTGAAATGCATCTTGAATGTATAATATGATCGTGAAATGCTTCCTTGTTATCTTATACGGAGCAGTTTCCTGCATTTTTCAACGAAACAAACAATTCTATAACGTTATCCCATTAGTGCGCGTGCTTTAAGTATTTTCAACTCCTTTTTGCTCACAGGCGCTGACACCAATCACTCTTTCTTTCCTTCATCATCTCTTCTAACCGTAGGAGAAATATTATGAAAAACGTGAGAGAAATTAAACAAGAAATAGCAGGATGATCTACAAATTTCTTATATATGTACAATTGGCCTTAGTTTTCGAGATATTCGCAAGAAGTTGTTGATACCACGCATTAATCAATACGATGTCCTTGACAACATATTAAAAATTATATTAGAGATCGGGAGCGGGATCTTTTTTGTAGATAAGAATTTTTATCTTATGTTAATTAACACAGTAACAGTACGTCATAACAACTTTTATCATTTCTTTTTTATTTCTCTCTTAATTTTCCTTTTCACGGAAATGAATGTATAACATAAATAAAGATGCATAATCAACGATAGCACATGCCGGTGGAATAATTGTCGGCAAATATCGGTGGGACGATTGTCGATGGTTTCAACGGATCGGCAAATAAACATACTCGGTGTCGGTGAAATCACGTCGATGAAAACATTGTCGATAATATCAAAGCAATTCAAGTATACGTTTTTTGAAAATACTGAAATTTCCTAAATTTCTTCTAAAACAAATATTAGAACAGCGTGTATTAATTATTTTGATCGTCATCAAATTATGAACACAAGTATAACATAAACATTGCTTGAAAACACTGCATAGAAATATTAATCACTGAGCGCATCGAGTATTAATTACTTCGTTTTATTACGTATGTCTTATATGTACTATGCATGCACAGAGTTGTCAGATAATTACTGCAGGATATTAAACTCGACTATGTGAATCATAATTGATAGAGAGGTGAACAGATTCTAAGATATAAACAATTGTCGCTAACTCTGCAGAGTCACAATTGTAAGATCTGTTTGCTATACTATACTACCGGATTTTTCGATAATGACATTTATCTTTTGGATGCTTTACTGGTATAACATTCGTATAATCACAGAGATCAAAATGTATAACATCGATGATGAAAAGTATTAAAACGAAAGGATCTCCAAACATAAAGCAAAGTTTGTTCAAAATGTAACTTAGAGTCGTTGAATGTTATCTCGCTATCCTTTAATATCCGTACTTGAAATGCAAATGAGATCTCAATTACGTTATTCGTAACATGTGCTGCAGTTCTCACGAATAAAGAAAATTTCTAATAGTCGTTAAAAAGTTCCAACTGAGAAGCACTGATTCGTAACTTCGAGCGAAGTTTCTTGTATCGTTGGTGTCGTATGGAAAACTAGGAGGAAGCGAGTATTGCCGGTCTTGAAAAAGATTATGCGAATGGTAAAGTTAATAGCTCACCAGTAACGTGTAGTACGTATATGGTGGACCTTGAGGAATCGTTTCTCGAGCCTATTTACGAGAGTATACAGCGGTCTACCTGGAACGTGTGTGCACCGCGAGAAATCAATTCCAGCGACGTCACGTCACGTTCGCTCCGAATGTTATGATAACGTGAATTCGTCACGATTATGACAGCGTCTACGTCGTCTCAAACTGTCGCTGTTATTTCTGAATATTGATTGATCGGTCACGTAACATCAGGTCAACAGATGCAAATTTCAAGTATAATATTTCTATATATATAATATATATATGATAATCTACATATATATTGCATGAGATATATATCATGTTTTATATTATTTAAATCATTTATCATTTGGCAGAGAGTTCTAGAATTATTCTTTATAATCTTGTATCTATGTTTCGCTTTTGGAGGACGTTGGTATAGTTACAAAGTATTTCTGACAAATTACTATATTTAATTCAGAGAAGCTATTTATAGAATATAGCTAGCGGAAAAGAAATAAGATAATTTGCTTTTATCGTAAGTTGCGTATGTGTAATCTGTCATACGATAATCAGCACACACTGCGATCATTAATTGTGATTAAATTGACACGAATGCGAGTACAGTGACGTATCACTGTGATTTTATTTATTTTATATCATGGTAGATGTAAAAGAGTAACGTATCCTTAATTTTCCGCGTTCTCCTGTGGTATGCAATAATTTTGCGGCCAAACAAATTGGAATTTAAAATAGTGAAATAATTAGATTCAATATTTCGATATTTTTTGCATAAATTGGAATCGAGAAATGTAATATCTGTTTGTTTATCGCGTTGCTATATTAATATATACAATTTACTAAATTATTACTATCGTTGTTATACAATTTTGGGGCTTCTGTGTTAGTCGTATCTAAAAGGAATTATTCTTTATGAATGTCTTTTTATTATTCCAACTATAGTCTTTGCAATGAATCGAATAATACGGATATTGTTTATTTTTAACAATAACAATAATTAAATTAATATTTCAAATTATTGTTATTAATAATAAAAAAAAATTGGCAAAAATCGCCGAAGGATTAGTCAAACATTGCGTTGTAGCCAAGAACACGTGGAACAAAGGAACGAATTTTATGTACACGAAAGACAAATAGCGTCCCTTTTGTTTCAGACTAATTTGATATGAGATTGTCTTTTAGCTGTTATTTAAAAACCATTTAAAATTTGGTAGACTATATTAGCTGCATTTACGATAGTAGCGAACAGTTGGACAGGTAATGGATGATCTGACTCTTGTCGCGAATCATTGATCACCAACTATTTAGTCCCAACTATTTGGTAGATCAAAAAATTGAGGGGATGTGTAGATACCACGTGTGTTTCAATTTATGACAATATGCCTAGCTGCGATGCTGGCTAAACGTAGAGATATAATTCCTACTTGACATAACTTACGCCCGGAAATCTCAGATTGTAACAACGATATAATAGAAACACATAATTGAATTGTTCAGCATTCATGGGCCGTGCACACGGTCCAATCTGAGGCTGCAAATTGTACCTGATTTTTCCAATTTCAAACATTTCAATGATGCCAATAAATTCTGTCTATTCAGTTATTTTACCATCTTAATTGAGTGATTTATCGCATATGGAATTATCATATATTCGCGTCTACGTATATCTGCATCGTAATATTATTTTATTTAGAGGCTTCGACACTTTCGAAGAGTTCACATTTTTCAAATGATTCTTGTAGCTCAATGCATGCCACAGTTCAGCGGCGGCCCGGTGCAATTTATGACTTACGATGACATGGAATATAAAAGAGGCGATGGTTGGTTCTTATCGTATACAAAGATAGCAGGAATCATCGTGGTCTTTATTATCGGTGTCGTAGCCGCAGGATTTCTCGGATGGTATATCAATTCCTTACCAAAGAAAAAGGTAAGTAACAGTTAGGTACATGAAATATGGAAATCATAGAGTCAATCCATTATTTCGTTTCTGGGCAAAGTAGATTTTTGAAGCAGGATCTGTCGGTGATAAGTTACCAACTAACAATATGTAGGGTACAGCATCTCTTATCCAAACAAACAGGAAAATAAAACTGTTCCGATAATGAAATTTTCAGATAATAAAACAGTCACTTTCCCTATATGAAATTCCATTCGCTTGAATACAGATTAACCCCTTCCCGTGCTTTAACGAGTCTGACTCGTGATGAAGATTTTGGTCCGAACATGAATGAACGCGAACAGACAGTCAGGGGCCAAACATAAACATCGTAATATATATATATTTTTTTCTTTTCTTTCCATTTGGATGTATTTTACAGTCAATTCTCATCGAGAATATAAGTCAATCTTTCTAGCGTGGTACTATGTCGCAAATACCAGGCATGTAAATATGAAACCGGAATTTTTGTATAGAAATTTTGTATACACGTTTATCGTGTGAAAATGATTAAAAATATTTCATTCGAAGTATTGCCCATCGCTAGCTATACATTTTTCCCATCTGTCTGGCAATCGGTGGATGCCACGTCAAAGAAACTGTCGCTCTTTTGAGGCAAACCAGTCATCGAGCCATTTTCGTACATTTTCGTAAGAAGCGAAGTGCTGGTCAGAAAGTGCGTGTCCCATCGATAAATAATAAACCCCATAAATAATAAAACCCCAAATAAATAGTAATCGGACGGAGCCAAGTCTGGTGAGTAAACCGCGTGCGAAAGTATTTCCCAACCGAACGCTTCCGATCGTTTCCTTCACCGGTTTTGCTGTATGCGATGGTGCATTATCACGAAGCAAAATTACTTTGTGTCGCCTTTTTTGATATTCTGGTCGTTTTTCACGCAAAGCTTGATTCAAGTCGATCATTTGTCGTCGATAGCGCTCGGTATTAACGGTTTCGCCAGGTTTTAACAGCTCGTAATAGATCACAACCTTCTGATCCCACCAAACACAGAGCATCGTCTTCCGTCCATAGCGATTTGGTCTTGTAGTCGATGTCGGTGGTTCGCCTGGAGCTACCCATGATCTTTTACGCTCAGGATTCTCAAAATATATCCACTTTTCATCGCCAGTCACAATTCGGTGGAGAAATGATTTTCTTTTGTATCTGGCGAGCAGCATTTCGCAAGTGGTTTTTCGGTTTTCCTGCTGTCTTTCATTCGTTTCGTGTGGAAATCATTTTCCCACCTTCTGGATCTTTCCCATGGCTTTCAAACGTACGGAGACGGCTTCTCGTGTCACGTTTAATCGATCAGCGAGTTGTTGTTACGTTTGAGCGTCATCCTCGTCCAACGATGCTTGCAATTCGCTGTCTCGAAACTTTTTCGGTGGTCTTCACGTTCTTCGTTCCTCGCGTCAAAATTGCCACTTCTGAATTTTTTAAACCACTCAAAGCACTGTGATTTACCAAGAGCATGCTCACCGTAAGCTTCGACGAGCATTCGATGCGATTCTGCAGCAGTTTTCTTCAAATGGTAACAGAAAATCAATGTTGTCCGCAAATCGTAGTTTCCAGGCACAAAATTTGACATGTTCAACGCTATTACAAACTATGCTGTTGTATGAAGCTTGTATTGTTCTGAGTCGAAAATGTTTGTGAGATGTCAACAAAGACTTTTGGCATCAATGACGCAGTTTAATGACAACTACATTATCAGCTAGGGCCATCTATAGGCAAATTCCGGTTTCATACTTACAGACCTGATAATAAGTGTTTATGGTTATGTATTTGATTCTAATTGAATCTAGTGATCGTAATATAACGATCGTAATTGAATGTTAGTTTTTATCAGTACACCACGAGACTGTGTTCGAGTTTCGTCGAGCTAAATGGCACGGCAAGGGGTTAAGATCAATTGGTACTTTCTTTAAATATTTATGGAGTCCAATGGAGTATGTAGGTCACAATTCTTCTAACGTAACATTCTTTTTCTACTTGGAACCGTCGAAGCTTTTCCGAATGTTACGAATCTTACGAATATTTTGGCACGAGAAAGCATCTGTTTTATTAGTATTTTCGTTGTTTCCGATAAAATTGTATAAAATCGTTATTATTCTCGTTTTTATTGCAACGAAACCATTTCATTAGATCGGTACAGTTAATATTTTTCTGCCTACTCAGGAATTTACGTGTCTTTAATGATCCTCAGTTCACGTTTTTATTTATATATATATATGTATACAATACATCATATTTAAGATGTAACGTAATCGAAGAAATAGTTTATAACGGTAAATATAAGGAAAAATAACAAGCTCGTGAAACAATTTACTTATTTAGTATCTTGAAAATACTGTATCCGGAATACTATAATAAATATTCTACGATTAGTATAATTTTGTAACATAGATTCTTTAGAAACATCGATTTCCTTATAATCAATCAAGTTGGGAACGACAGCTGGAAAAATCGAGTTGTAAAATTAAACACAAGATTAATAATATTTTATAACAACTAATCTCAAATCTATAGAAATATTTAATATAACTTTTCAATAACTATCACGATTTAGTGTGACATACTAAATTTAGTACGACCTAATCATAATCTGCAACGATAATTAAATATCTATTGACCAAAATCTCCATATCAGCAGTTGATCGAAACTTTCAATTTAATTTCTAATGTCACAAAATTTCTTTCTCTTAGCCATACGAGATTCTAGACTTGCAGAACGATGGCATCGAGGATACAGACGATGTTGACGAAAGTATTTCACCTTTCATTCGTCCCTTGAAGTATCGCCTCGAATTAACGCCGATTATCGACATGAACGGTCCATCGAGATTGATAGGCCACGTGTACATCGATTTTCAAGTAAACGACACGATAAGTTTAAATAAACTTTCGCTAAATGTGAAGAACATTACGGTGACTAGCTATAAGCTGTCTTTGCTGGATCTGGAGGAAAACAAGAAGCCGTTAAGGAAAAGACGAAGAAGGGGAACCACCGACGTAATTAATAACGTTAATCAAGGGAACGATACAACTTCTGGTAACGTTACTAACTTTAACAATTTTTACGTTTATAAAGATACTGTGAATGAATTTTCCACGTTTACAAACTGGTCGTTGTATCGCAATTGAATAACGGAACAATTTGTTTCGCAATTTTTACATTATCATTATAGTTAATTACAGGTATTTCGCTTTTACGTTTCACGGGCATTTGCAGCACTCGAATTATTTACATTTTTCTTTTTACCAGAAGAACGTGGAAAAAGAATATTCAAATTCGACAGAAATGTTTTTAAATTACCATTTAAGCAGCACGTTGTTTCTTTCTAAATTTAGAAATAGTTCGAAGCTTTTGAAATATGGAATTTATTGTGCAATATTTGCTCGCATTGCAGTGCTGATTATTTTGTTTAAACTATCCTAAGGTCCTACGATGAGCGTTTTAATATATTAAAAACAATTAATTCAAAAACCTTATTTTATAAATGAATAAATAATGTCCAACCGTGTCATCCACTTACAGTTTCACGTACTATGTGTTCTATAGAAAATGACGTTGTGATAAGCCTGAGCGAAAACGAGACACTGGTATACGACGAAAATGTTACAAACTCATGGGAGAACAGGTCCTCCGACGAAGAAGCCAACGTTACATTGTCAAATTACGCTTTGGTTTCTGACACTGACAAAATTGACGACTCAAACGTAGATGAAATTATACAGTTCGAATCTGTGCCACCTGCTGTATCTCCCGGAAACGCATCTTCGCAAATACAGATCACACAGTACGATATAGACGCGGATAAGGAAGTTCACACAATTTATTTAGGAAGTCGAATACAGCAAGGAATTTATCTGTTGGAAATCGAATATGACCTGTTAATCGATGAACATATATTTTTCATTGGAAGTTACAATTCATCTGGCGAAGGAAAGTAAGTGTTACGTACGTCATTTATTTTCAATTGGTACTTGAAAAATAATTAAAAAAATAGTTAACGAAACGTAATTCTTTAGATATCTGTTATGTCATGTTCCCTTGCTTCTTCCACGATTTAACATTTGCAGGATTTTAATAGATTTACGAGACAAATTTTTATAAAAGTTTTACAATATTTTCCTATTTTCATATTAGATGGCTAATGGGAACGAAATTGAAGGAATCCGGTGCTCGATGTCTGTTCCCGGTTTTCGACGATACGGTGAATAAATCAGTTATTTCCGTATCCGTGGCACGTCCCAAAGAAATGACAGTGCTCTCAAACATGCCCCTCAGGAGTTTAAGGGATACGTAAGTAATTCACGTCATGTCTTTTCGCATGAAAACTCGTAAATGAAATCGATCTTGCCTGATGACATAGTTAAATTAAAAACAGAAATCTGATTTCATATGTGAAAAAGTTCGATAAAGAAGCTTTCTTTATGTAATACATTTATAATTTATAATTATAGTTGCACGATAGAAATGTTATCGATCGATTTCAGAAAATGAACTCTACTCTATTTATTATATTTTATTGAATACTCTGATAAGATTATTAATATTCAAGTATGAAATAATAGGAAAAGATTTGTAGCAACTTGTTTTAATTAGAACTTCTATGCTGTCAGATATATATCGTGCAATTTTTGTCTGTCTTTCTCGTTCTTTTCATTTTTAATTTATACACTTTCAGTTTATAGTAAAACATGTGATAATTGACACGAAAACATGGCAGAAAATACACTTTACGTGAGATACGTAGTTCAAAATAGAATTTTCGATATTTGATCAATATTGGAATTTTTCCTGTACAGTTGAACGTCATTCAGTTTCAATTTTTTTTGTTAATTTAAAGAACTACCTTTATTGAAGGTTTTGTATGAAATTTTTTACTATTTATCAGCAGAGTGCGGATATTTATGTAAAGTCATAACTTCATGGATATAATTTAAAAAGTGGAGCCTTTTACATGAACAAATGTTCGTGAACACTCCGCTATTTTTTTAAAAGCTATTTTTCTAAGCTTTTCTAAAAAGTGGAACCTGGACAGAAATTTACCTATTAATTAAATATAACAAACACTATATTTCCTATTTTTTACCTTTACCTATTAATTAAATATAACAAACACGATATTTGATTTATTTTTGTGTATTCTATGCATTTACCGACCTTCAGATAATAAAATAATAAATCATAAAAATCCTACAGTTTCTGGTTTATCAGAAATTAAGATATTCATCACAGAGTCGATCGATCTCGTTTTTCAAAGTGTCCCTTAAAAATAGAAATAAGATAAATTGTTATTCCCGTTTTAAGCTCGGACAATTCGATGGTGGTCGACACTTTCGACGATTCTCTGCCTATTTCTCCGCACAATTTGGCTTTCGTAATGGGCCATATCGAAGCCATGAACACGACGTTCGTAGGCGACACCGAAGTAGTTGCAACGTTCTGGTGTGAATCGAACAGAAGCTCAGAGGAGATTTACCTGTTCGACAAACTCAACTCAGTTGTCGTTAACTTGATCGACGTGTTTTTGACGTCCTACCCCTATCCTAAATTGGATGTAGTAAGCCTGCCTCCAGGGATCGACGAGAACATGGGAAATCCTGGATTAATTGCACTGAAGTAAGAGCTATTATTGTTCTTCTACAAGACAAACGTTCCTTACATCTCCTACGATTTATAATTATAATCAGCTCGCACATATACGTAATATCAGCGTATTAGCTCTATTACTCATATAATTAGAACCGTTGTTTTTCATTCAGAAGACTATCAATGTGATTTTTATAATAATACAATAGCGTGTTTTTGCAAAGTTATTTATTTAACTTCGTTTAGTAATAATAGTAACTATGGAAATACTGTGTACATCTATATTAAACATAATCGCAAAATTTCAGAAATAGTATGGCAAAAGTCACTCGAAAGATAGCATTTTATTCTTTTATTTTATTGTGAGGAAGATTTTTAAGACTTTTCCAAGGTAATAACCTGCAAATGACGAGAACGTACTCGTAAATATAGTTTAATCAATTCCATTTACACTACCCGCTAGACCTAAACGCTAGATTCATTTAGTTATCCAAATTAAGCATATGCACGTACTTATAATACTTATAAATTATACCTATCTATAATAAGTATTAACTTATTATAAATAAACAGCCATGTCACTGCGCCACGCCAGAAAAATTACTGAAAATTCTCAACGCGAGAATTGATTGTAATTTCAACAAAAAAAAAAAAAAAATTCCATTTACTCAGTTCAATGAACGAATATGATATTATCAAAGATATAGTCCTTTGCACACTTTCAATTACGTCAATTTTGAAGCAGGGGCGCGATACAATAATTTTTTGTTTAAACAACCACCTGCTAATTTACAATCCGTTTGATAGTTCAAACACTAGGTAAATCTTTCGGGCTACCTTTGGCCAAATCTTTGGAGATTGTACCTACGTGATGCAATAAATAAAAGCTATTTATCTATTTATTTAGTAGAAAGTTGTTTTAAATGCTTTAATCCTCTGTTTTCTTCTAACTTCGTTTCTCAGCTATAAAACAGTTTTAGCGTTTGTTAACTTTTTTATCAAAGTGACGCGATATGCTTGTTCCTCTCTCGATCACATCATCCTCCTTCTCTTATTCTTCCATCAGAAATTAAGAAGTCTCGTTAAAAGTCTTATTGGATTTCTTAATTATCTCTATTTATTAGATAGCTGATGGATGTCAATTATTAGGTGATCCCATAAGTTCCGACTTTTATGTATACATTTCATGTGTCGATTTATAAACATACGGTGATAAGGGACCAATGCACTTGAGCTTAGCTGATCGAGAACAGACTAGAGCAGATTTTTGTGGGTATAAGATCGTAATATAGCGAACACAGTGACTTCTAACAGTAAAAAATCATGAGTGAAACGCGTATCCATTTTCGACATCTCGTGTTATACGAATTTCGGAAAGGAAGTTCTGTAACAACTGCCACGAAAAACATATGTGCTGTTTACGGAGAAAACGCGCTTTCATCTCGCACCTGTAGGAAGTGGTTCCAACGTTTTAGAGCTGGGAATTTCTGTTCAGAAGACGAGGAACGCTCCGGGCGTCCTCCTCAGACAGACGAAGATAAAATTCGGGATCTTGTTGAAAAATCACGAAGTTTGACAGTTCAAGAGATGTCAAATGTTCTGAAAACACCTAAGACAACGATTTATGGGTGTTTAAAAAAAATAACATATATAACCGCTCGAAAAACGGCACGAACTTATGGGATGACCTAATATTTGTCTTTGTGTCTGCGATAATACACCGCACAGAATCCCTTATTTCGCCATTATTTAATAATTAGCCTACATTTTTATCGAGCATTTTTCACCACCAATGTAATCGAAGGGCGCTTAAATGTTCAAGGCAGTCGTTGTTCTACACCAGCAAGAAATCGCCACGTGTCACGAAAGCCGACGCTCTGAAGGTCCTGATCAACCTAGTGGGACAGCAATGGCTCGATGAATTTATGAATGTGAATCGAACGGACGCGTGGATCTTCGAGAGTCTGCTAGTTTACATCCAACACGTGATTGTTCAACAGGCAAGCGACTAATTTCGCATCCTCGACAAACACCTTGGCAAACCGTTGTAATAGAATTCCATTTTCAGATAGACTCGTCATTGGACTTGAGCGACTCTTTCATCACCGATGTCCAGCTGCACGTGATGGAGATCGATGGCTATAGCATTTCAAGACCTTTCCATGAAAATGCCAATTATCATCTGTGGCAATCTCTTAACTACGAGCACGCGAAAGGTAAACCGGCTCGATGTTAGTCTTAAGCTGCGTCTTCGCTGAGGCAACAACGAGGAACTTTCCGTTGCCTGTCGTTGTTACACGTTCCAAGTAACGACAAGTAGCAGCAAGTAGCGAAAACTATACACTTTCAAGAGACATTTGCTTCATCTGCACGCGTTGCGCACGTGTTTCTTATCTTTCGTTCATCTTTGTCACTCCAAACGGAGACGAACAACGAGCAGCAACTTTTGTCACCGGCAACAGAAACGCGGAGGAACATGGAGGAACATTGTACAACCAACGAGTTCAAGAAACGCGAAACATCGACAGAGAGGGTCGACTGACAGTCAGAGGTTCTGAGTCTGTCGCTTCTCTCAGCAATTACTGTTACACATGGTGATAATTGACTTTACTTGCTGACAGCCTTAGCTATACAGAAACTACCTTCTCATTTTGTGGTATTAACGCGTGCTACTGGCACAAACGCGAGAAAGACAGCGATGAAGAAATTAGACGAGAACTGAAAGAGAAAATGAAAGGAAAGGGAAACCGCGAAAGAAAGTGTTCCGAGTTGAGCAAAACAGGAGTAGATAGCTCGTTGGGGAAATTGTAAGAGGAAAACACGAACGTAGAAACACCAACGGAAGATTGGTGGTTGTTGCTTTAGTGAGGACGCAACTTTAGGTTGCAGGATATCGCGAGCGGGTAGATCTAATGCCTCTGCATTTTTCGTTGCTTCTTGTAGGTGCATGTCTGATACGCATGTTGCATGGCGCGATAGGCGATACCGACTTTAGGAACGGCTACAAGAAACTGATAACCAGGTGGTGGGTATATTATTGGCGAGGAAATGTTTTATGCCTGCAATGGATCGATGGATGGATCGTTTTGATTAATAGCGATTTATGAAGCATTGACGGCTGTATCGAATTGAGGCTAATTGCGATTAATCATCTTCCTCGTGATTATCCGGTTTTTCATTTACATATGTATTTCCTCTTTTTCATTCGCGTTTTTCTTCGCTCAAATTCCTGCATAATTTAATAATTACGTCTTTATTGCTAGTAAATATGGATAATCAAGATACTATCGAGTAGTTCTACGAGATTTCAGCGGAAGCAATGTAAGCGATGATAATTTTATTGCTCGTTCTCTGATCTTCTAAACTGGGTCGGTTTTTCCAAAATTGCGAATTTCGAAGAAGTTACAAATCGTTTAATTTTTACTCCAGCAATTGTAAACAAAGCACAGCTGGTTTTCGTGGTGCGCAGACATCGATACATTGAAAAACAAACTACAGTTGAGATCGAGAACTACAGAATTAAAAATTGCTAGAAAAGACGTTAATTTTAATCGAATCGATTTTCACTCTAGCGAATGTAAATAAAATACAACGCGATTTTGATGTAAATGGAACGATGCGTTGAAAAGCGAAGGTTTGCTAAGATAGATTATCAGATAATAATTTATTCTGCCAGATACGGATATGATACGCAGGACACTGATAATCTTTCGCGACGAGTTAACTCGTCCTTCCTCTCTAACAGGTCGACTAATAGAATCTTCAACGTAATAAACGACGTTTTGTTATTTGATCAGGAAGCATAACAACACGGATATAACCGATTTCATGAATATTCTGGCGGAAGAAGCAATGGAACTTCCGTCCGGAGTTTCTTTGCAAGACACGATGAATTCTTGGATTTCTCAAGGTGGATATCCATTTATAACCGTCATAAGAAATTACGAAGAGGAATCCGCCACTATTTATCAGGTATACCGTAGCAAATAACATTGCAAATTTTGTATTAAATCCTATGATTATACAACTTTGAACGGCTTATGCTGTAAATAAGGAGATAATTTAAAGAAAATTTACTCAGGTTTAGACGTAAGAGTAGAATGAAGGACGAGCTACCGAATATCATGAAATAAACGAAATCCGTGAACGAGATTGTCGTGTAATTCTCATGTCAGAAAACACGAAATCTTGTTTAAATGAATTTCTCGATTAAATGAATTAACTATCGCGTCAAATGAAATTAAATGAAATGGAATTATTCTAGCGCTAATTTTAGACATTTTTGTTCACCAATGATAGATAATAGATAATGCAATACGCCATAAAATTGAATACGATATTATACATCGTATGAAGGCAGAGATTTTGTTGCTAATATTCTAAATCTATTAGATTTGCTGTTTTAACGAAGTAGTTCTGATCAGGTGTGAGAAAGTATTAGGAATTAAATAATTCTTTTAGGAACAATTTGCGCTCGATCGTCCATTCGAAAGTATCTCCAAATTTTGGCATATCTCACTGAGTTACGCCAACAATAATAGTAATTGGTCGTCTCCTGCTACGATCTGGTTCCCACCTGAACCTAAAATTACGCTGGATGGCATTGGTTCCAATGAATCTTGGGTTCTTTTCAACGTAAATAAGACTGGTATGTGGCAAATTTAACTACGATATATATTTATTATATTTTATTGAATACTCTGATAAGACTATTAATATTCAAGTATGAAATAATAAGAAAAGATTCGTAGTAACTTGTTTTCATTATAATTTTATATTCTTTCAGATATATATTCTGCAATTGTTGTCTGTTCTATTTGTTCTTTTCATTTTTACGAATATCATACTGTCAATCTGCGGTAAATATGCGACAATTGACACGAACATATGATCCAATGTCAGATATAAATATTTTTTATTTTTCACCCTTTCTAAATTAATCTTTCACGTGAGATCCTTCTGCTGAAAACGAGACCAAACGTGGTATAAGTTGAGTTATACTTGCTTATGGATATACGTACTTAACTGTTACTTATTAAATAAACAAATATGAGCCGAGCTATACCGCGTCATTTTGATCGGATAAATGGTACAAGATTCATTTATAAAAAATATAATATAAGAAAGTGTGATTTTTGAAACTCAAGCTTAGCTTAGATCTCAGCTTATCGCGAGCTTTCGATAATTGCCGAACCTTCGGCACGTCTAAGATCTTAGCTTGCAGAAATAGAATCGTTTCTACCTTCTGTGCAATTATCGAATTTTTTCTTGTATTTTTACACGTAAAATAATCTTCTTTTCCTCGTCACGCTGTGAATTTGCCAGACACTTTGCTTCGTAAATTAATGGAAATAATTGTACCATTACATTTTTCAAGGTTTCTATCGCGTGCACTACGACGAAACAAATTGGATGCTGTTAAAATTGGCACTCACGGAGAATCACGAGCTGTTTCCGCCAGAAACCAGAGCATCGCTCGTAGACGACGTTTTTAGTTTGGCTGAAATAGGCTTGATGAAATATGACACCGCCTTTGAATTCATTAAATATATGCAAATGAAGGAAAGACATTACCTTCCTTGGGGTGCATTTATGCGACACATGTTCAAATTAAACAGGCTCCTGTACGAGACTCCGGTCTTTACTGATTTCCAGGCGAGTAACAATGTTGACACGTTACAAAAATTACAATTTTAAGCAAAATATCTATTATGTGTAATTCAAGCTTTTGAATTATATTTCGAGCTGAACGATTCGTCAGCGCTCTGGTAGCATAATATTTATAATTAGACAGTTTTTAGATAACGATAAAGTTGAAGTTAATAAAGTTAAATTTTAGGAATTCATAGCAAGATTCGTATCCCCGTTGTACAGCGAAGTAGGGTCGAAGTTGGAAGAAGGATCAGCACTGACAGTGACTGCTGTAAAACTTGCATGCGCCTTCGACCATTCGCAGTGTCTAGACTGGTCGAAAAACGTTTCCGAGGTAGTCAATAGCATACACGAAATGTAAGTTTCAGTGAACTCTGTTATGAATATAATTTGAACGTTCCTGTTTTCATATTTTGAATGTTTTAATTGTACTGTACATATGAGATGAGAAAAAATGAGTCACTTTTGCAATATAATTCATGAAATTTTGCAATTACTAATTATGCTTCATGCAAATATACAAATTCGCTAGAATATATTTTTCGGCTAATCTCACGAACCTGTGGGAGCATTTTGATGAGAGTTTTATCATTCTAGAAATTATAATAAGGCTTAGGTGCGTGAAACGTTAACGCATGATAAAAAGGAAAAGAAAACGACAGTCGAAAATACACAGAACAACAGTTTACGAATATTCGTAATGTAACAGCGATCTTGTGTTTCGCTGCCACAATATATACGCATAGTAGGATAATTCAGCGAGCAACGTGTCAGAAATGTCGATAACCGCGATTTCGCTGTGTGACAATCGGTGTTGATTCACGGATTTCAGAACGTTTATCGAGCCGATAGAAATTTGCGAAATTGTCAGTCGTATTATTAAAGAAGATTGTATAAGATCCCGGACAAAGACACAGTTTTGTTTCTATAAAATTCAAAAACTCTTAATCATCTTCTCTAATTTCATTCAAATGAAATTTAATACAGATCAATTTTTACTATGTAACATATGCGTCGTACCATTATGCCATATCCTTCCGAAACAGTATCGATCATAAAACATGAAGAAAGCGAGACGTTACAACAAATAAACCATCAACCCCTATAGTATCGCTAAAAACTCATCAAATTATTCTAAAACACAAATCGCAGTTAATATAAATGTGTGGAGAAAAGTGTGTATACATAAATAATCCCTAGGTTCGTATTCGTATGTCCTTCTGTCGCACATAATTATATGCGCATGTAATTATACTATTACATATTCGCTATATTAATATTTCTTTGTCTCGTATTTCTTGCTAATTTCTTTGTATATCAATTTTTCAAGGATTTAACAGAATGAAATTGTTACAGAGTTCCTTCCTACATTCGTGACACGTTTTATTGCACTATCGCGCGTTATGGTACACGAAGGGAATGGAACTACTTTATGGAACGGATAAAATCGACCGAAGATGAGGAGGAAAAGAAACGTTTGTTATCGTCATTCGCTTGCTTCCAAACTCCTTGGATTTTACAATTGTAAGTGACTATTCACAGAATCGTAATTTTATCTTTGATTATAATCCTTAATAATGAATAACTATAAGAATAGTATTTTCAAAAACATATACCTACATACGTGCATAAATTAGAATCTATCGGTGCAGGAAATAATAATAACATCTGTCATCTTTGTAACATCAATTGGAACGTAATTGAGACTTATGACTTTTACAAATTTAACAAACAAAAAATATATATGATATCACGGCACTCGAATATTTTTAGGAAATTGTGTATAAGTGAAAATGAGTGAAAATATTTATGAGTACAGTATTAGAAGTATTTGAAGAAGTATTAGAAGTACTTAAAGCTGTATATATTTGAACATTTTATAGTTTTTTAATTTGTATCCTTGTGTTTCTTATGTATCCTTTAATTTGTACCCTATTATTTATAAATTTGAAAAACAGAAAGTATATATGATATCATGGCACTCGAATATTTTTGGGAAATTGTATATAAGTGAAAATGAGTGAAAATATTTATGTTCATTGTATTAAAAGTATTTAAAGTATTTGAAGAGGTATCAGAAGTACTCAAGGCTGTATATATTTGAACATTTTCTAATTTTTTAGTTTGTATCCTTATGTACGTAATACTAGTCACGTTTTCCTTTGATAACAGTATTCTCAATGATATACTTCACGAGGAACGATTCGAGGAGGACGAAATGTCGGTAATTTTGAATGCATTTTCACAAAACCCAGCCGCGGCTCAAGTCGCATTTCGGTTCGTTCGAGCAAATTGGCAAGAAATTGCGCAAAGGTACTTCCGATTTTTGTTGCAAAAAGTTCAGTGTACGAAAAAAGAAGCGTAATGGCAAAATGACTTTCCCGATTTAGGTTTCTAGGATCTTATAAGGTATTGAAATCTTTCGTGCTGTCCATGATGAATGGCTTAACGACTGAACAGGATTTACAAGACGTAAGAAACTATTGGTATCATGTTTGCATATCTTAAATATTTTTTATCTTCTATATGAATTAAATTTTTGCAGCTTCAAATGTTCAGGGAAAACAATTACGATAGCATGAAAGGAACAAGATATGCGGCAGCGCTTGTCGAAGCAAATGGAAATTTCGAAACAACATGGTTGAAGCATTCTTTACCTCAAATTGAATCTATGCTAAAAGAAGAAACAAAGAGATTTGCAAGTCCGTGAAAATAGCTGATAAAAGCGAGGGGATAAACACTTTCAAGAGTTGTATTTCGTGAAGCTGGACAAATAGCTTTTCGAAGGGTCACACGTACTTTTTACGAATCCCGGCGATTTACTTAAAATATTCGAGTTCTAAGCTTTTTTATTTCGCTTCATTTTTTATTCTCCTGAAAATGCAAACTTGAATTTTAAAATTGAAATTGTGAGAAATCTTAAATTAATTTTTTCATTTGACATATAAAGATGTATTAACATATTCTCTCATTTATAATTTATTAATGTAACATATAAATCATTTCGAATAAATAGTATTGTAACTTTTTAAAATATTGTAGCGGATAGAAATAACTGTTTCTTTTCAATTATTAAATTCAAAACTCGAAATTTCTTAAGATAAATATCTTTATCAAAGTTATCTTTCTAATTAATTATTACGCTCATGCATAGACATAATTATATAATAAATATGTAATAATAAACCAAAACTAGTAAGAAAATATTATGAACTTGTGACGCTTATAGAGAAACTATATTAAATAGTCAGGAATATTTCTAAAATATCTTAGAAACAAGTATTACATTTAGAACACTGATTTCCATATAGAAATTATTTGCCTTTGAACCAGCAACACATTCTGTTAAACATTCTATAAAAAATCATGTATATATTTAAAAACATATCTTTACCCATTTGTTACAGAATATTAATTTATCTTCATGCGAAATATAAACATATGAAAATGAAATACAGATAAATTATGGAATTTGATTTCCGATATTGTAATCAAGGTTCTGACATTCATAATGTTTCTCAATTTTATGCGCCGTACAATTATTGGATACCTATGTAATATATAACAGCAATGATTTACGATATTTTAGTGATATTGCATCGCAATGCGTTTCATTCGTTAACACAATTTTTACTTCGGCCACGATGGCCATACGAGCTCCGTGTGCGTAATTCTTAGCCCAAAAGACCACAGCCGTTGGCTGACAGCTCTACTGACGAGTCGATTCAGCTCGGGTAAGGATTTCGCGACGAAGCCTCTCTTTTTAATCCTAACTTTCCTCCTGACATAAACATTTCTATGACATTGTCGGCTGGGAAAAGGAAAAGAAGGCCAAATAAACACATTAAATTGCGACACGATCGGTAGCGCATTAATTTGCAACCGACCAATTCGGCACGTGACACCTGCAAACAGAACCTTCCGCGAGATTTCTACATTAGAAAAAGCCGTAAGATTCAATAGTTGACAGGAATACATATACACTTGAATACGCTGAAGTGTTCTAGTTCGAAGCAGCAACCACAGACAGTACAAATCCAGCATGCTTATATAAAAAGTTATAGAAATAATTCTAGATCGTTCCAGAAAAAGGGACACAGAAGGCGACAAACGATCCAGAACGTTAAAACTGGACCATTAAGCCGGGTGCGAAACGAGATTGAGTCAAAAGAAAAATGGTGGAGAAAAGAAACTGTGTCTTTAGGGAAATGAGAAAAGATGGGGTTCTCAATAGTTTGAAACACCAGAGGATACTTATATATTTTTATTATGGAGTAATAGGGTGTTTAAATAATCTGTATATTGGAAAACTCGGAAGATTCGTTTGGATGTTAAAAAAATCCGGTAAACCGCAAAGTGTACAAAATGTAAATGCGAATGAACTTTTTGGAGGGACACAGAAGGAAAAAATGACCCAGCACGATAAAACTGGACGATTAAGCCGGGTGCGAAACGAGATTGTGCCAAACGAAAAATGGTGGAGAAAAGGAATTGTATCTTTGGGGAAATGAGAAAAGATGGGGATCTCAATAGTTTAAAACAGCAAAGGATACTTATATATATATACGAGGAAGCGAGTGAGGTGTGCAGACCGGGAAATTGAGAAACACGAAAGGCTCGAAAAGAAAAATTCCTCGCGCTGTGAGAATTGCAGATTGTAAATGACTCCATATCGTGTCAAACATGTCACTGTAAATACGAGAACAGGATGCAGGGTTTGCAGGAGTATATATATATATATATTATGGAGTAACAGGGTGTTTAAATAATTTGCATATTGGGAAGCTCGAAAATTTCGTTTGGATGTTAAAAATCTCGATGGACCACACACTGAAACAAATGTAAATGCGAATGAATTTTCGGAGGGACACCGAAGACAAAAAATGAGCCAGAACGATAAAACTGGACGACTAAGCAGGGTGCGAAACGAGATTGTTTCAAAAGAAAAATGGTGGCGGAAAAGAACGGTATCTTTGGAGAACTGAGGACAGATAGGGTTCTCAATAGTTTGAAACACCAGGGGATACTTTTATATTTTTATTATGATGTAATGGGGAGTTTAAATGATACGTATATTGGGATGCTCGGAAGATTCGTTTGGATGTTTAAAAAATCCGGTCAAAAACAAGAAGAACGCG